TGATACTAAAACGAAGGGCTCAGTGGTTAATTCATTAACTTATTCGAACTGCGAGTTATTCTCCATAAGAGAACGTAAGTAGTAACCGGGAGAACAGGGTAAAATGTAGTTTGTTCCAAGCATGAAAAGTGAGAATATAAGTGTTCAAACCACAAGCAGGAACTCTAAATGAAAGTATTAAGGTTGGTAACGTGAAATAAGTTAATCACTTGTTCTTAGTCACAATGAGAGTAAAACTCTGTTCTCGAATGTATATCTTTGGTTACCGATTCTAAACGAGAGCTAAGTTCTTCGAGAGCTCTTTGATAATCATCCAGTTTAACATCGGAAGCATCTTTTGTAAGAGCTGAAATTTAGGTAATTATTAGAATTACAAAAATGTGTATTACCATCAATATCTTCGTTTTGTTTCAATGCTTGATATAACAGCTTTGATGCTCGTTGTCTCAAATTCTCGGCTCTTTTTTGAGGACCATCGTTTCCTTCCGATCTTTCTTCTAATAGCGTACGGGCAGTATCGATATCAGTCTTAAACGGACTATATAAATTATATGGTTATGCACATCCTTACCGTCATCTGTTTGTTTCCTTGTTCGGCTGTAGCAGAAGCTTGCAATGCCTTATCTACTAACTCGAAGGCACTTTTAGCATCATCAGCTATTTGGAGGTATTGAACTTTCACTTTTTTCATTTCTCCTTCTAGCCCAGAGAGAGATTCATTTGCTGTTTTTGCAGCAACTTCTGTCGCCGCTGTTTCGTTCTTGGCTAGTTCTAAATCTTCACTGAAAACGGATTATATTAGAGCATTATTTTCGACTGTATCAACAAACCGTGCGTCTTTCATTGCATCACTTGCTGCCAGTATAGCTTCCGAAGCTGCCGTTTGTGCATCTGATGCTATTCCGAGAGCTTCCTTAACTGTATCTGTTGTGTTTTTGATAGCGGCAGCCTTTTCACTGGCTGACAATGCCTTGAGCTCTAAGTTTGAAGCAAGAGCTTTCTTTTCTTTTGTTTCATCCAGGATGTCTTTGATATTATTAATCTTAGCTAAGGATTCTCTGATTTTTTCTGATAATTCAGATATCTGTTCAGGCGTAGAGCTGATTTTCATGGACAAAACTTCTTCAGAGAGTGTTCTAATTTCTTCAGGGCTACTGCGAGGAGAATCCAAGAAACTCTGCATTTTCCCAATTATATCATCTAGTTGAGTCCGTGTGATGTTAGCTTTATCAGCAGCGTCTTTGGCTGTATCCAGTGCTCCGTTCGCATCTTTCTTGGCTGTCTCAGTCCATTGATGCACATCACGCACCATCGTAAGAACATCTTCAGCCTCTTTCTGTTTTTGATTTAACTTGTGATCGGCTTCCAAGGCGAAGTTTTTAGCTTGCTCGGCTTTATTGACTGCACCATCTTTTTTGGGGCATGTCATTCCACCACAGAAACCGCATGATCCTGGACCACCACATAGAGAGTCACATGGAGCCGAAGATGCACCGCATACATCTCCATTAAGAGCTGGTAGGGCTTCTTCAAGCATATGAAGCTAAAAACAATTACTCATATACAGCTTACGTATAAAGAAAACTTACAGCATTTTCATTTTCTAATAAGGCAGCCTCGTTTTCTGAATATTGTTTCTCAAAATCTTCTCTATTTCTCTCCAAAAGCTCTTCCGTGGCACGAGCTTCGCTCTCAGCTGCAGCCAATTTGCCGATAGCAGCATCAGTTTTCTGCTGGGCCAAAACTGATTTTGTAGAGGATTCTTTGGTGATATTGTAAGCACCCTAAAGATAATGTTAACTAGAAACGCAAAAACGAAATTCTTACCTGAACATCTGCTTCCTTGATCTTGTTAGCCTTTTCATTCAGATCATCTGCTGCACTCGTCAATTTTTCAGCATCATCCTGGAGTCCCTTCAAATCTTCTTGTGCAAAATCAACGGCTTGAGTGGCATTAGATATTCTTGATTCAATGCCATCCAGTCGGTTATGAGCTGCTGCTACTTCTTTCTTCAATCTCGTAACTTCCTCTTCTAATTGCTCAATGTGTTCTTTACTGATATTCGCATCAGCCAGCTTTCTCTTAGTATCTTCTAAGGTTTCTTCCATCTTCTCAAACTCTGCATCATATGCAGAAGCAACTCCCGTATCTTCTATATTATTAGCCGAATTGATTAATTCAGCTACTTGCTCTTTCAGTCCTTGAATGATACCATCCCACTGATGGAAACATTCTCCACAAGGTTGACAATAAGGCCATCTGCCAGTATAGCCTCTGGCGCATTCATCACAGAGAGCTCCACCTGATCCAGGCAAACAAGCACAAGTTCCGTTATTACGATGACACTGTTGGCTAGCTGAGCCAGTTGGGTTACATTCGCATCTGTTGCATCCATCAGGCTTGGTTGGGTCACCCCAATAATAATCTTCACATTCCGAACAAGTTCTTCCACCTCTTCCCGGTTTGCACTTGCACTGACCATCAAAAGTATTACACTGTAAATCAGAGTTGCCATCCGATTTGAGTAAAACCCCATTGGGATCACAATCGCATGCAGAACAGCCAGCACTGCTCGATAAGTTGAAATGATTCTCGGCACATTGATCACATTGTTCACCAACAACATTTGGGAAACATGGACACTGACCAGTTATTCGGTTGCAAGCTCCAATTGAAGAATTGGTTCCCAACGAGTTGCACACACATTGTTGACAACTGCGGATCTTTGCATCTCCAAAGTACCCTTCAACGCAGTGTTCACATTGAGCTCCTTCCGTATTATGAAGACATTTCAAGCATTCTCCACTTGATGCATCACAACTTTCTTCGACACCCATATCAATGTTTCCATTACAATCACATCGTTCACAGGTTCCACCTACTTCTGTAGGATTTCCCCAGTAATTCGTTGCACATTTCCCACATCGTTCTCCAGAGTATCCAGCATTGCAGTTACAAACAACATCTTGAGTATTGTTGGCGGGACGGAGGTAACACGTGTCAGCATGTTGGAACCCACTTGTGGGACCACCAGGACATGGACAGGGCTTACAAGGCAAGCCAACACCAAGTCTGGGATCACCATAATAACCATCTTGACAACGGTCACAATAATGCCCAGCAGTTAGATCACGACATTCAATACAAGCTCCCGTAGTTTGGTCACAAATGTTTGCATGGTCATTACATTGACATACCTAAAAAGATTCAGGATGACTACTGAACAGGAAAAAGAACATACTCTGCAGTCGGGGAAACTCCAAAAACCTGGTTGACACTGGTTACATTGTCTACCATAGATGCCCTTTTCTCTACATAAACATTGACCGCTTTGCTTATCACAGCGATTGTTGAGGGATCCTACAGAGTCGCAAGCACATTCGCTGCAACCTTGTGGGCCAAATCCATAAGTTCCTACAGCGCATTGATCGCATCTAATGAGAAATTTTACCAGTACATTTTTAACTAAGCAAACCTTCTTCCAATAACATTTGGCTTGCATTCACATTGACCACCTTTAACATTACAAATGCTGGAAACGGATCCGGTAGGGTCACAATCACATTCAGAAGTTCTATTCAAGATGGCAGCCGCAATAGGGCAAATGTAACGAATACATGTCTGGAAATAATTAGCAGTATAACATAATAGCCTTCTAGTCTCATACCTCGGATATCTGTTCCCTTGGGGTGAGGGCTAATGCCAAATTACGACACTGGTATCTGTCATACTCAGTTTTATGTTGTTGACCTCTAGAGCTTTTGAAAATTTCTAGCTCTTCCGATGGTGGAGCCAAAACCAAGGAATCAACTAGACCGAAAGCACTTCTATCCGGCACACCAGTTCTTTTTTCTCCGAATTGAACAAGTACTTGATAATTCACACCTTTCTCTAAACAAACTGCTGGTCTAACCTCAACGTATCTACCTCCTGAAACAATTCATAAACAATTTAGCGTATATGCAATATTAAACCTGGATGAAGGCGTGCTATAAGGAAGTCATTTGAAGGATCACTATCAGCACATCGGCCGCTAGAATCCGGGCTGTCCGGTCGGGAAACGGTGATTTGAACATTCTCCCATCCAATAGGATCTCTAGCTGTGTCATATCTCAGAATAATATTGTATGGTTGGCTGATTTGTAAATTGTCCACGTCGAATTGAAGGATAGTACGCTCGTTTACACGAGCATATCCCTCTCCGGTCCACGTGTGCTGATATTTATCAATTGGAATCTCACGAAGTTCAACGTCACCCTTAAAAACACAATAGACTATTAAAAAACAAACATCAAATTACATAGGTGATATTAGCCCTTTCGGCTTCATAAGTATAGTGATCAATGTTCGCACAGTAAAAGCTGGAATCTGCTGTGTCACACCTGCGAAGTAGTTCGTTATAGCACGAAAATGTTCCGAAATGAATTTTACCTTCTTCCGCTAAATCCTTCTCTGCATTTGCATTGCCCAGTTGCTAAGTCACAGCTGTTATCAAAAGAACCTCCAATATCACAGTCGCAGGCTTTGCAACCATCTGGATCTTCCGAAAGCCCGTAATGCTCAGGCTAAACTTCGTATGATAATAAAAACAAAAGCAAACTAGACGAACCAAACAACTATCACAATTCTCGCCAGTGACTAATCTTTTACAGGCACAAGCTCCTGTGTACTTATCACAACCTTCATTATTGTAGGTACCCAGAAGATTGCATGTACACATAGTACAGCCATCCTCATTAGATGCAGTAAGATTCCAATATCCATTTTTACAGCGGTCACATCTTGGCCCGTCCACATTTGTTTTACAATAACATTTACCGGCAACAAGATTAAGCTCTTTGTTTTCCTCTCCCTCGCATATTCCCTAAAGCATATTATTTGCAAAAAAAATTCCAGAAAAACTCTCACTTCATTTGCTGAGCCACTTTTGTCGCAATCGCAAGGCAAGCAGACATGTGGATCCCAAATTTCCCTACGAGGATCACGGTAGAAGAATGGCTTACACTGTTCGCAGTTTTTGCCTTGAGTATTATGCTGACAGTCATCGCAAACACCTCCAGATACGAAGCCTACAACAAGCAGTATTCAAGCAAATATCTCTTATAATGATTCTAACCACTGTGCTCATACACAGCTTTATCGAAATGACATCTAGCTGCATGGCCATTACATTCACAGCGACGACACTCATTTGTTTCTTCACCAATAGCTGGTCTCCATGGCAAATCGTTGTAAAAGTCACGACACCGTTCACAATTCAAGCCTTCCGTATTGTGCATACATTCACAACGTCCGTGAACCTAGAACAAAAATTGAGTGATGGAAAAAAATTTTCAACTCAACAATGTCTGGACGATTTTCTCCATCACTACCATCAATCGGAATACAACGGGAAGCATGTCCGTAGCATGAACAAGATCCACGAACAACAATTTCATAAATGGCATAATAATACTTTTCGTCTATTTCGGGTCTTAAAATATTGTACTGTTAATAAATTACACACGCTTCGAAACACCTGTAGTCTAGTAAATCATCTCCCAATGTATGAAGCTTGGTAAAATTGAATCTTAGATTCGTTATTTTGAGCAAATTGGCGATTTCTTCAGCATAAGGATTCTCGGTGGCAATATGAGGAGAAATAACCTTATAGACTAACTAGAAAGTTTACGTATTTATGATATTTATTAAATGAAAAAGTTTTAACCTCTCCTCCAGTAGATGGAGCAACGTCAGAATAGGCTCTCGTGCAAATAACATCTTCATGTTTCTTAGGAACACCTTCAGGTATACCGGGGAAAGATCCAGCACAATCATAAGCAAAATAACGATAGACTTTCCTGAAAAGACGAAGTCAAATATTACAGTATGTGTAGGCTTCAGAGGCGATACATACATGTATGACCTCATGAAAGCTTTACTTACCATGTCTTCCCGAAATCAGCTGATCTCTCGATAATCATAGCAGCTGGACGGAATGATTTGAAGGTCATAATCAAATGAGTGAAATGGAACTCGGCTTCTAGATCCAATGTGATCTGAAGAAATTCATAAATATTTAGTATTTTCATAAGACATACAGATGCATTCTGCATTCCATTTTCAGATTGCCACCATTTTTTGTTTTTGTTGTTGTTATCATAAGCGTCAGTAACAACATTCTCAATTCTGAAACATCTCGTTTTTACCAGATAACGATAGTAATCTCTCACCGGTGACTCAGTCTATAGGGTTCCCTATACGGCTGCCATTCTGTTCGCGAGTCACAATAGAAGCATTTCGTTTGCTCTTCTAAATGAGAGACAATGCAGAATCTGAAAAGTAGTGATACATTAGTAAACACAAAACTGATTGGCTAACCTTTCTCTCTTAGATGTTCCACAAGTTGATGAAGCTTTTAGTCTATGTTTTCTTCCAATGAGAAGATTACCAGTGACAGGGTAGCAAGATCTGTCTTTACAACGATCATCCCCATGTTGAGCCCAACACACGGTTGCTATAAAAAGCAACAGCCACGAGGTGGTATGCATCCTGCAAATAACATCACTTAATTGACATTTGATGAAGAAAGAATACCTTACGGTTACAATACACCTTATGGGTGCTAACTAAATGGTTTGCCACCTGCAAAAAAAACAGTCAATACTGGTTGAAAAAAGTGATGGTAAGTGAAAAAACAAATGTAACATGAGAACGATAATTTTTCAACTCAAAACATGAGCTGCTGATCTTAGTTCCGGGAGTTCTTAGTCTAACAAAAATAATATGAAGTTACCTTCATTTTAAGCTCACTTTTTCTCTTACACAACTAATTTTCAAGCGATAGGAATCAGATGTACACCTAGATGAGTTTCTAAACAAAAGCGGAAAGGTTATCTAGCGTAAGCAATGCAAAAACAACACATTTTTTAACAAAGGACCATTGTGATGATATCTATATTCGATGCATCTGGAATTAAATTCCAAGTCCTTTTACCAGCTCATCCGACAGTTTGAGTGACTCATTTGATACGCCGTCGGCTGGGATAAGATGAACGCAACTGTTCTTTGGCAGAAGGAAAAAGATTATAAAAAGGCAATGAGATCCGAGTGAGAAGGAAACGGATGGAATCGATCAATGAATTCATTCTGTTATACAAAAAACGCAGCAGATGGGCTAAAATTCGTAAACGAAAAATGCTCCAACGAAAGACCGGCGCTTCAGCCTCATTATTTTTCCCGATCAAAGTTGCAGACGGTCAAACTTGCCTTCAAGAAAAATTGGCGCTTTTCAATTTCAAAAAAAACGTTATCAACTTTTGCTAGCGTTCGTCTCAATGGAAGAATCAATTACGGCATTGATAAATAGAGCATCAAGGGGAAAATGAACAGACAAGTTTAAAAGCAAGCAGAATATGGACTTAAACCATAGTGTTTCTGCGAATCTCGGAATTTTCGAAATAGAATTTTTCAGATACCGCAAAAGCTTGTAGAAGTATAGAGAAAAAAAACAGCATCTCAATGTTGAAGCTAAATAAAATACAAACATAACTAGTTTCAAAACTTCATGACCGAATAGATCAAAGAAATACAAATAAATATTTGGAGAAACATCTCCAGAAGACTTTTAATAATTGAGAGGTATAAATAATCTTCCGATATGTCAAAAATGAAGACCGTATTGCCCTACAATGATATCTGCAAATGAACCGCATTATGAGCGGGAAGACACATAAGAAACAAAAGTTCATTTAAGCGCAGATGGTGGGACACATGTGTGCAATAAAAAGGAAAAAACACATGGGCGCACTGTCTCCTTTTTAGAAAACTTTCAAGCTTTCCTACGATAGGTTAACTAGACAAGACGTTCGAGAGTATCAGGATGGCTCAGATAGTATCAAAACAATAACAAATGTATTTCTCTTACAGAAATGAAATATTTCGTACAGTTTCTTACGATATGCAAGAAACATGGTGTTGGAGGGATGTTATGATAATGATGAAAAATCGGTGGTCAGGCCAGACACAGAAAGAGTAGTGCTAACTTGGCTCCAAAGGGCAAGGAAAGCTGAGTCAGAATTGTGGTGAAGACAACATTCTGCTAAGATAAACGATGGGGACATAAGAAAAGAAAGAGATATTTTTGATTAAATGATAGGGATCGATCGTAACAACTGTTTCCAGAAGAAGCTTTTACCTTCAATCATAAAAGGTACAGATGCTCTTCTCTTGAAGAGATTTAGCTCTGCTCATTTTTTTTACTGTATATCAAAGCTTTCAGAGCCTGTCATGCTAAGAGTGATTTGGAAGAGGACCGAAATTATATTCTTCGAACATAAATATGTTGTTATCATGTTTCACGCGCCGCCTGAATCCCCGAATTATGATGATGATCATCAAGGGTCAGAATAGAAAGTAGGTAATATTGAAGAAGTAGTCGGGCCAATAGGCCATACGTTATCAAGGTCGAGATGCTAGAGTACGAATATAAGAGATGATGATGTCAATTGAGAGGGCATTCGACCGTTGCCTAATAGTATGATAACGGATAAATAAAAATCCATAAACGGGAATATGGAACAAACCATCAAATATGAGGTAACTTAACATGAATCATGGTAGAGCATAAACAACCAATCATATTAGGCGTCTATACTTTGCTATAAAATATGAGATGAGGCGAAGGGGTACAATATAGTTTAATGGCTATTTGCCAAGCAGTGAGAGCACCACGACAGCAGAAGGCAAGTACAGATCAAACACAACCCAGTCTAATAAGGTGGATAAAGAAAAGTAAGAGCTCGCAAGTTAAGAAACTTAAGTAAACATACATTGTTCCAATCATGTAATAATCGCTGTACTTCATGATTGGGACTGTATTGTTGCCGGAACAAGATATCTCTCATACAAGGCGGGTGTTATAAGGAGGGTAAAAACAAAAGATTTCAACAATAAACGAAAACTCTATAATAGAATGTTCAGAAAGATTTGTCTATGATGTCTCTCACCCATTATTTAGACAAAACCATATGGATAATGCCCAAGAAAAATTAGAGGGTCCAACATTCTTTCGACAAGATACGCAAAAAAAACTAGTAATATGTTTGAGGAGCACTAGATGACTTAGGACAGAGGTCAATTCGCACCGCCCCTACATTACTTTTGGCATACATACAATACATTTCTCATTGAGCAAGCCAGACGTGCGGTACAAAACGGTCAAAATTATTTGAAAATAAAAACTCACAGCACTATGCAATTCGGAGATACGACCGGTACTAATATTTTCATCACTCGAAATGATTTTCTAATGATATGCACGTCTTGCACACGTAACGGCGTTC